GTGTTTGCAAAGAATTGCATTTAGCACAAACTCAAAACAGCACCATGCAGTACAGATCACCCAAGGGTCACCACCTCTGTTGGGAAGCGGGAAGCATCATCTTACGGGAATGTTTCTCATTGACAGCAACTGGCACACGTCAGGGCGTCCAATTATGATACTTCAGTTTTGCATTTGTCAGTTTGTCCTGTGCTTGGGATATTGTGGGGATACTGCACACTTCAACCAGTCTTGGCCATAAAAGCCTGTAGCTCTTTCACTCTTTCAAAGCTGCCAGCAGGCTCATCGGTAGCCTCTCTGATCAGTCTCCTTCTTGCTCGGTTAAACAGTTGAATCCATAAAATGCAATATTATCCGCTTAAAGCCGTGGTGTGCGGTGTGGAGATAAGAGGGAAAAAAAACCTCAAATAGCAGCAATCAAAGGCTGGAAACCTGTCATCCTGCCCTGTTTCAAGAGCTGGCTCAATGAGGTGATCTCCACTATTTCTCCATCAATTCCCCTTTGGGATCAATAAAGTCTTACCTATCTATCTATTACAGTGGGACAGGCACGGTGGAGTGATTCCACAGGGTCTGGGGTCCTTTTCCCAAATGTTTTTTAAAAGCCGGATAGATCCTTCGATTATTTTACAAGATCTTTAATATCGTTCTGTGGTTGCTTCTGCAATAGGGTTTTAACTCTATTCTAATTTAAGAAACAAAAGCTGCAAAAAGGCAAAAGAAAATTTGAGCTGTTCTGTGTCGGGATCTGTTTTTTAGGTGTTTTTATGCATTTCGTGTTGTTTTTATAAGTTATTGTTGTCTTGTTAACATTTTCAATATTTCTTAGATCACACACTTAAGATACCAGATCCTCTGAGGCACTGACACCAGGGCTGTTGGCTTTTCTATAGGCACTGTATTTGATGGGCCTTGAAACAGTGCGCTGTGAGCTGAAGGTCTCTCAGAGCTGTCTGGGTTTCTTTGCATTTACCAGGGTTACAGCCAAGAAGGTCATTTTCTGCTACATCTCGAAATAAATTTACATGGGCGCATGACGCATCTAACATTTTAAATTAACAGAAAATGTATGTCCTACGCACAAGCAAGAATTTTTTTTCAGCTGGTTCAAATGTTTAAAATGCACCGTCGATATGAGAACGAAAGGTTCTTCCTATTCAAAATGAAAATGGTCAAGTTTCGGCTGCAATTTCTTCTTCACTGTAGTGTACAAAGACCAACACAAACAGGCGTATTGTAAGTTTTCGTTGGCCTTTTCTACGTCTTTGGAAGCGGCGTTTTCCTTCCCCGACACGATATTCTAAAACCAGTGAAGATCAAGTTACTAATTCAGTCATACGCGATACGTAAATCGCATACACGCTTATTTGATCTCGTCGTAGGAGAAAAATCGTTCAAGTGGACTGGTGCTCAACCCCCTGTGAACACTGGTAACAGAGCGTACTTCAGTTTGTGATTCTTCCCGGAACACAAGATTCGCCACGACAAAGCGCCGCGTTTGTCCGCACACAGCGCAGTATTTACTTTGACGCAGATGTCTGACGTCATCAATAAACGTCATCAACCGCAGCTAAAAACATAAATCACGTCACGAACGAGAAGTGACCACCGGCCTCTCTAAGCCCGTTTGGTAGCTTTACAGATGCAAGGATCTCATCCAGCCATGTCTAGAGAGAAGCCAGGGTATCCGCTTCGACAGCAGGGCTGGGCAGGTAGCCCCCCACCACTCTCTGTGTACAGAACCACCACTCGTTCTGGGCTTTTCCACATGGTTTCCACTTGCCATTCGGAAGAACGCCGCTAGGTTGACTTTGTCAATACCTTCGCTGGATAATTGGGGCCCCTGACCTTTTTTTCCGATCCAAAGGTCAGACATTATCCGCAGCTCAACTTTGGGAACACCATAAATCACAGCTATTAGAAAATACCAGAACGAACATTGACTTCCTGCTACAGTCCCCATCCATCTTTGTCTTTGAGCCGCGGGATAAGGATAATCGCCCCTCGAAGTGTTTAAAAACGTCCTGGCGTATAATTATCTCCCCGGGGAACCGAACCGCGCTGCCGGAGATTTGAGTGCCTCTTCGTGGACTTCGTAACTAAAGCGCGGACCAGCGGCGAACCTACCTGCTCAGTTCCGGCTATGCCACGCTGCCTCCCAGCATGCTTTGCGCAAGCGCTTCCCACAGGCCCCTCAGCTTAGGCTCACGCCTCCAAAGATTTATTCCAAAGATACTACCAAGTTATTTTATTGGTTTCCAAAGACAGGATCCTGTAAAAAGAGCGTTTTTCTCCCGGACGGCCCTGTCTACATCTTTAAAATCTTTACACTTTAACAAATCATTCCCAGGCTCAGAAAGGCAGCAGCCATGATTGATAGCGCACTCCCGTTCGGTGTGTGACTAGCCAGCCTACGATTAAGGGAGGAATGAGTTTAAGAGCTCCTGTGCTCTCACAGGGGCTGCTACAAGCTCGGAAGTCAAAGAAATGTCACGAAGAGCTGAGGGTGGACGCCGTGTTGTTCTGTCCATACTGATGGAGAAGGATTGCCCAGTCCCAGCAAGCTCTCTCTCTGGCTCATCGGCTCACGAACCGAAGCCTTCCGCTGTCTCGTTTATGACTGTCATAAAGGCTTTATGAATGAATCACCGCGGACCTCAGTGCAGATTTGCAGTTAACGAGCCTCCAGATGATGACGAATGAACGAGACCTTTCCGTCTGTGTTCCGGGCAGAGGGAGGGAGGTTGTGTTGCTGTCTGCCCCACAGCAAGAGACAGACTGCCATTTGATGGTGATGAATCCCAGGCCATTACACACCGCAAAGCAGAGTATTTTCTTCAATACAAAAGTGCAACGTGGATCAGAATGGATAATGGATCCATCCCAGACCAGATCCAATGGATAACGGAGCCATTATGATCCATGCCAGACCGGATCCAATGGCCCATGGACAACTAAACGATGACATACAGAAACAATGACCCACAACACTAGATGCTGGCAAAACACAGCCTCTGTTTTTAATTCTCACCTCAAAACTTTTCAATGGCCTTCAATTCAGAACCGATTTCTTTCTTGAAATGTCACATATATACAGGGTTTCATTGTGTTTTCTTGCTGACTGTACTTTTTTATATGTATGACTCATGTAAAGTGCTTGAGGAAGCCCTGGATCGGAAGAGTTCTGTGTAAGAATAAAATTGATTACGTAGGAAACGCACCAGAGAATATAAGTACGTGAAGGAATGGAAATTTGGAATAAAAACAAGATTGAGAGCCTTTCTCTCTCCCCTTACCCTGAGCCTAGACAGGTCAGCTCAGGCGAGGTGGCGATGAGCTTACAAGCTCAGAGACATCCCAGGGGGCCAGGATAGACGCCCCATTTGGAGTCAGAATCAAAGGGATATCGCAGAGATCTCATTGGCTTCATTCATGGATTTATTCTTCAAACATTCCTCAGCTATCGAAAAAGTCTTCTCCTCAAGTCCTTGCATGGAGGATGAGGAGCAGTCCAGCCCCGGTCAGGGGGGCCCTTCGCTGGCGGTGAAACTGATTTCGTTTTTCTTCCTTCGGGTCAGAAAGACGAACGACTGAGATGGCTGCACAGTTACACAAGTGGTTGGGTTGCCTCTTTTTTTAAAAAAGGGGGCACTGAGTCAATATCACTGACCCCACCCTCTCCAGCAGTAGTGCGCTACAAGAATCTGAATGAACTTTATTATTAGCATTCCATTCCCCCCCCCATTCAGGGTTTGGGGGAGCTAAAGCCTATCCCAGCAAGCAATGGGCACAAGGCGGGGTACACCCTGGACAGGACACCAGTCCATTTCGGGGCAGACAAAGACACACTCTCATACCAGGGCAAGTTTTCCCAGAAGCCAAT